CCCTCAATGTAGCAAAGACAAACACACACACACACACACACACACACTCATAAAGTAAACAAAAACCCTCACCCAGCCAAACACTACTAAAGTGTATTTTTAATTCAGTCCTCACCTTCCTGCTGAAGAAGGGTTTATACACTCAGACCTGAAACGATGTGCTTTTTAAACACAGCTAAATAAAATATACCATCAAGATGTTTTTGGGTACCAAGGAGCTAAAATCATTCATTGTGTTTGATCGTTTATTTATTTATTTATTTATTTTTTACATTGAAACCAAATACGGATCAATACAAAAGTTAAGACAAACACTTCAATTTAACAATATAAGGTGAAAATTCCAATTAAAAAAATTAAATAAAAATGTTAATGTAGCTAAGCTAAAAAATAATCATGTTTGATAATAACTTTATATAAAGTTGTTTATACAAGTGGAAAAAAGCTGGAACCTTTAGTTTGAAGCTCAAGCTGACACATTGCAAACTTTTCTTTTGCATGAAAATCCAAAGTTTTGTTAATTTGCTGCTGCTTTGAATTCATGAAATTCAAAGCAGCAGCCAGTGATATGACACATTAATTTACAAGTGCTGTTTTATTTGTATTGATAATAATTTTACCTGCAATCCATTCATGCTCTTATTAAAGAGTCTAACAAGTTTGCAAAACATAAAATATTTTTTTGGTGTCTGTTTTTAGTTTTGCTGGAGAAACGTTTGTAATCTGTTGGTTATTGTATTTCTTAAATTTCTCAGATTTTCATTCATCAAGTTCTGCTCCTGCTGTTTTTTGTTTGTGTGTTTTTTCTTTGCAGAACATTACAATTCCCCATAACATCTATAAAGGGATTAAGAACATTCTGGAGTCTTATAACAGCTTCGCGCTCATCAAGGTACACGTTCAGTTGCTGTCTGACTGTCGCTGATTTCAGAGCTAGGGTTGGTAAATTACAGGAATTTTCAGTGTTGGGAACATTCAGTTGGAATTAACAGGAATTTATGGTTTAAAAAGATCAGGAGTAAACATGGAATTGAAAAACTGAAGATTGGCCCTTAACACAGATTACAGTAGTCCGTCACTACTTCGCGGGTAGACTTTCGCGGACTCGCTCTTTCTCAGTTTTTCAAAGCAAGAGTGGCCATTGCTGATGAGCCACACGAGCGGCATGGATTGTTTATTTTTAAATAAATTATTTTAAATGATTTGGCACCTGATTGCCAGACATGGGCACCGGCGACCCCCGTGACCCAAAATGGAAGAAGCGGGTAAAAGATAATGGATGGATTTGGCACCTGCTGTACCTTTGTGCAGCCTACAGGTGCAGGGAGAAGCTCCCTCTGCAGCCTGTCATGATCTCCGCTCTCTGCCACCTGCGGCTCTCTGCCACCCACACATTTCTCCTCTGTGCTGAAGCAGCTGCATGAAGGGTTAACCATTTGATGTTTTGCTGCACTTCTCTACAGTTTAAACTTAATTACTGTAATATTTTAAATACACAATACATGCTGCATGCATTGTTCATTTAAAATATTACAGTATTTAAATTTAAATTGTTTATTTACACAGAAAGTGGGAGATTGGGAGAGAAACTTGAACTTGGACGACTGTATCCCCTACTTCATGGTTTTTCACTTATCTTGGGGGGGTGTGGTCCCCTAAACCTCGTGATAAACGAGGGACTACTGTATAAGTATAGTTGGAGGGAATATTTTAGCATAATCTTAACTAAAACAACAGACCGAGACAGATGGGAACAAAAAAAATCTTTGTCCAGAGTTATAGTTTTGTTGCGAAATGCAGTTTTTTTTCCCAGATAAAAGGACAAAACCACAATAATGATCAACTGACGTGCTTTGCCCAGAGTTCTGTGAATAAGAATTTGACATTTTCTGTACATAAATTTAGACATTTCAATATTTTTTTGTGATAATTTACTAAATTTTGTTGTTTTATGTGATTGCAATGACAAAAAACATGAAAAAAAAAAAATCACATAAAGTGATGATTTTTCTTTACATGGAGTTAGAAAAGGTTCTGGAAAAAATGTTCAAAACTCTTTGTGCTCTATAAGTTGTGTGGTTGTGAACCATAGATGCAAATTAGGCTAAATGTAGCAAATTTAATCACAAAATTGGTTACTTTCACAAACTTTGGGTCAAACTCATTATCTGCCAATGACTAAACTCAATTATGTTTTTATTTAGAAATGATACAGTTTGTTTAAATTCTCCCTAATTTTCTGGAAATTCAAATAAATTCCCATAATTTCCATGAATAGTTTCCAATGTTGAGATATTTTTAAAATTCCCCAGCTGAACTTATGGAAATTTACCCCGTTTGCAACTCCATTCAGAACATCTGTTTGCGGTGATAAAATATTCAAGTTGTTTTGAGCTACATATTTTATTGTAGTCTGACCTAACTCACCTTGTGCCTTCTTGTAAAGCACTTTGGAAAATTGATAGGAAAAATGCTCCACAACAGATACAAAAATACAGAAAAGCTTTAGTTAGGTAGACAACCCAAAGGCCCAAATAGACTATAAGACTTCAGCGAGGAAGCATTCAAATTATTGATACCTTACAGTTTCTGGAGTTTTACCACATGAAACAGATGTTAACTCTTATGCAAATGTTGAATGTGTGTTTGTTAGGATGTGATGGCTTTAGTGGACCCACAAGAAAGAACAACCCAGGAGTTTGCGTCAGAAGAACGCCAAAGTCCATACTCAGTGAACCAGGTATACAATCCAACATTTTTCACTCAGGTCATCTGGACAGTTTCTTTTTTTGTGCTGACACGTTTCACCTTCGATCCAGAAGGCTTCATCAGTCAAGGAAACACACAACACAAAACTGATTCTTCCCCCAACAGCTTACTCCAAAGTGGTTGGATTCAATTTTTCAGTCAGAGAGTGTTTAGACTCTGCTGGGGTGTCAAACTCTCTTACAAAAGGGGGCCAAAATTAAAAGCTTTGGTCACATGTTCCTCAACAAGGGTTTGATTAGTCTCATTTGATGTTCTCAGTGACAAAAGCATTTGACGTTTAACACATCTTCTTGGGGGCCAGAGAAAATGTCAACGAGGGCCACATTTGGCCCCCGGGCCTTGAGTTTGACGCATGTGGGCCAGGGGTGAGGAACATTTTATTTTTCCCCCTCTCTCTCTCTTGGGGAGCCATTTAAAGTTTAAAATGTCCTCGAAGTGTCACACTCAGTATGTGGACTAAGATGCAACAATTGCAAATTTATAAAATGACTGTTATCTGTTTGTAAAAAATTAATTATTTTTAACAGTTTCTGCTGAGTTTTTTCAGTACATTTATTTTTGGACTTGAGAAAGTTTTTTTTTTTTTTTTAATGAACAGGACAGATTTGGTATTTTGAAAGTTATTTTAATGCAGCAACAATGATACATTCCTTCCTAAAGGAGAATTCAGCTTTACTTTTATTCTCTCACCACAAAACCTGCTCTCATAAAGTTGTCCATGTCTCTCTGTGGTCTTGTTAAACGCCGACAAAGCACAGGAACTTTAATGTTCTGCATCCATCCTTTCAACTCCTTCACTTTGGCATTCTTCATCACTGCAGCAACTTGTCAAAAATAAACACACGGGTTTGCTTTTCACTTTTACAAAAATATTCACTTGTTCGTTTTTCTTGAAAAGAGCAGCATTCTGCTTCCACTTTTCTTTTCTTATGGCAGTTGCCATGATATACCCCTGTCAGCCAACTTATCTACCTTGTGCTAAGGCTTGAGCACACATGTTGCTTTTAATGGCCTTAAACTTGGCTTTACTGTTGGATTATCACAGAAGTCCCATCGTTTGTTGACATTTTTCCTCTCTGAGTTTTTGATATTTAATTTTTGTTTGAAACCATGTGGCAGGTCGGATACAAAGAGCTGAAGTTCCCAACTCTTTTTTAAAGTATCTGTAAGTTCATGTAGATATGAGGATGACCGTTGATCACATATATTTGTCAGACATCTTTTATTTTTTCAGGTACGTGGACATGTTTTGGCTCTTGAGAAAAAAATGGCTGAACTGAAAGCAGAAAACCAACCGTATGGCGCCTTTCTCAAACAAGCCATCATATATCTGTGTGCTGAGAAGGTAGGGTTTCTTTGGGAGTTATTCTGTCTCACAAGACTTTGTGTTTTTCTACATTCGATGTGTTGTCTGTGCATCATTTTTCTGAGAGTTTTGTTGTCTGATCAGAACCTGGAGTATGCGCTTGAGCTGAAGCAGCAACACGAAGAGCAGATGACAGTCGAGAATTACGCTGCTCTCGTCGACCTGTGCTGTTTCAAAAACAATGTGGAGGAGGCGCTCAACCTAAAGAGGGAGATGTGAGTGCTGCAGCAAACACACACATGGCTGCACTGCGGCCATTAAAGTTTAACTTGATTGGTATTAAGGGAGACATTAATGTAAGGTCCAGCCACTCTGTTGTTTACCTGAAACACAGGAAACTCTCCCCCTTTTGTCACTTATTTCCTCCCTATCTTTCACCAGCTGCTTCCAGCGTCTGATTGAACTTTGAAAACGTATAACAAGTGCATTACATTACTGTACGTAGATTATATTAAACAAAGCTATCTCACTCTTTCTGTCCCTGCTATTAGGAGTCAAAAGGACTCATCATTTTTACTGGATAATGATAAATACATCAGACTGGTCAAGACACTCGCCCTGAATGACAAAGTTGAGGGTAAGTTTCCATCAATGTGGAAGAACTTGTTTTTTGCATTTTACAAACTACTTGTCTGTTAAAATGTTGCACATAATTTCTGGTATATGTTCTTATGGGGAAAGAAGTGATATTTCTTTGTCTCTTGATGTTATCAGGGTGGTGGAAAGGCAGTTCAATTAAATTTATTGATATAGCGCCAAGTCACAACAGAAGTCATCTCAGAACACTGAACAGAAATATTAATTTGTCAAATAAGTTAACAGAAACATCCATATATAAAAATAATACTTTAAGAATTTATCTGAGGAGCAGACTGCTTTGAATTTAACTCCATCACATATTCTCATCTTGAGCAAGCATGAAGGCGACAGTGGAAAGGAAAAACTCTGTCATGAGGAAGAAACCTTTAGCAGAAGCAGGCTCAGGACAAGTGGCCATCTGCTTCGACCGGCTGGGTTTGAGAGGAACAGGAAGGAGGAACAGATATACAATGGCACGTCAAGAATCACATGTTAAGATAGAAATAGTATCAAATGAAAACCATTTAAATTTAGCAAATCATTTAAGGAAATGAGGTCAATTTGTCCTTCAGTAGGCTAAGCCTATGGCAGCATAACAAGCCAACCCTAATTATAGGATTTGTCAAAAAGGAAAATCTTAAACCTGGACAATGTGTCAGCCTCACGGACAGAAACTGGAAGTTGGCTCCACAAGAGGGGAGCCTGATAACTGAAAGATCTTCCTCCTATTCTGCTTTTGAAGACTCTAGGGACCACGAGATAGCCTGCAGTTTGAGAGTGAAGTGCTCTGTTAGGAAAATATGGAACAATAAGATCTCGAATATAAGATGGAGCTAGGTTGTTGAGGGCTTTGTAGGTTAGAAGTAAGATTTTGAATTCAATTCTGGATTTGACAGGGAGCCAATGGAGAGAAGCTAAAACTGGAGAGAGATGATCTCCTACTAACTCCAGTTAAGACTCTGGCAGCAGCATTTTGGATTAACTCAAGACTTTTTAAAGAAGTATTCGGACACCCAGATAACAAACCATTGCAATAGTCCAGTCTAGACATGACAAATGCATGAACCAGTTTTTCTGCATCATATTTAGATAAGATGTTTCTAATTTTAGTGATATTACGCAGGTGGAAGAAGGCGGTTCTAGTAACGTTTTTAATGTGGAGGATAAAAGACATGTCCGGATCAAAAATAACACAAGATTTTTGACAGTAGAGCTGGAGGACAGATTAATGACCCACCTGCTGCCCTTGGGCCTCAGTTTGGCTTTGTGGGCTGTTTGATCCAAGGGCAGCAGGAGAGTTAAAAATCAACGTGTCATGTGTAACTTAAACACAAAGCTAAAGCACCAAACGCTGCAGTTCATTTAATGGCAACCTTTAACTGACTCCAAAAGTAAGTCAGTCCTTATTAGACTCCCCTAAATGTTAAAATTTTCAAGGTCAAGGTTCTTTATTGTCATTCACATCGCATGTGGTACATGTGGTGGAACGAAATTGTGTACACAGGGTCCCAGTTACATCCAACAAAAGTATAATTTCTAAAAGGAAAACAGTAATAAGATCTAAGATATGAACTAAGAAATACGCTAAACACTTAATAGTGTAAAAACAATAATACACGGAACAGCACGAACTTTACAGCCAAAAAAAACCAACAAAAGATGGACACAGTCACTGTGACATTTTAAAACACTGCACTTAGTGGTCAATGTTTTTGGTTTATTAGGTTCAAAATTCAACCTTTATTTATACAGGTTAATCCCATTGAGCCTCGGGGACTCATTTGCAAGAGAGACCTGATTTTATTTTTATTTTTTTACTAAGAGTGATAACAACATTGAAACAAAAGTGATTGATCTGAATCCTAGCTACTGCTGGCTAACTCACCTGTCACTTTAAAGTGATCCTGCCAATAATAAGTTGGCACTGGTTTAAATTGATGAGTCAACTCCACTACGTAATGTAAACTACCTTTGATGTTGCATGCCAAATTAAGCTGTGTGCACAAAATCATAACTTGTTTGTTCATATATGAAAACACTGATATAAAAGACAGATTTGCCATGTTTATTGGAACATATAATTTCCTCCATGTAGGGAAAATAGAACACAACATTCAGTTTTTGCCATTTTTCATTTAGTTTCTTTATCCTACATGTTTAGCAAATACAAACTTTACAAACCAAGCATTCTAAGTTATATTATTGTCTTCAAAACTGCATTGTAGGAATTATGCTAAAAATGTTATTTTAATTTTGTCTCCTGAAATAAATGACCTACGCCCATCCAACCATATTTCCCTTCACCTTTTCTTGTACAATGTTATAAAGCCAGTGTGATTGTGCATGTTTCAGCTTTTTTGTGTACCGTATGTCAACAACTCTGTCACAATCCCTCTCGCTTCCTGAAACCATATTAGCGGGCCATTTTCAGAATTCTACGGTGGGTTTCCTTCTGCCCCTCGAAGACCCAATTACTATCAGTTTTTCTGCTTCGCTTTTTGCATTCAGTGACAGAACTGTTTCCCTTGTCTGTTCTCGTCTTTCCTCCCCTCATCACTCGCTCTCTGTTCTTGCTTCTGTCTCTGTTTGACCCTCACATCCCATCTTTCTCAAAGTGTGTCATTCTCTTGCCACACACACACACACGTCAGTGTGAAATAAGAGAGGGGGAAAATTACAGGACTGCATCCCCCCCCCCCCCCCCCCCCCCCCGAATTATTGAAATCCGCCTTGATGCTAATGGCAGATCATGTCCGCCAAAGTGCTTGAACATTTCACACACGCACACACAGAGACACACAAATTTGCATGTGAATTCAAGCAAAAGGCATTTGGTGGCACACTAGTTGGTGTGTTCATCTGCGTGTGTGCGTTGGGATGTGTATAGGCAGCGCTCAACGCATTTGCCATTAGCCAGAGTGCGCATATGGAGGCAAGGCTTGTCAGCCACATTAGCACACATGGCTAACCTTGATGTTAGCTTGTCCCCACCCAGACGCTGGTCCCCCTGGCTCCCAGCACCCACCAGGCTCAGCTGAAGATCACGTCTCCTGGCATCTCACTTTATTTCCACCAGCTTTAATGGCCCCATTGTTTTATCGCTGGTGTCTAAAGCTTCTCAACCCACCGCCAACTTAACTTTATCCTTCTGATATTATTTTGGTCACATTCTTTTTACATAGCTTTGTTGTAATTATTTTTCTTCTATAAACCAATTAATTGTCTTAGGCTGCTTGTGTACCATTTATTTTAAACATGACTTTTGTGAAGTCTAAATCTTACTCGCTAGTTACTGTGTGGTATTGTTTTTTTCGGAAAGTCTTGTGCAAAAACAATAAAACCAGTGCACATCAACTTTGCATAAAATGTGCTCAATTTAAATCTTTAAAAATGTCTAATTTTTCAGTATTTGTGAGAGTCCAACTTGTCATTTAAAGGGTTATTTTCCAATTTCTGACAAATTATTTTCGGTTCTGTTTATTGCATTTTTGGTTCTAGTCGTTTAAAAGTTATGTACATAATTAAGTAAGACTTTCCGTAATATTTGTAAAATTAACATATCAAAAGTCATAATCACAAGTTGCTTTATTAAATGTTACTTTTTCTGAAAGATCATGGTTCATCCAACTATTTGACCCTTTTATTTTTAAATACTTTGGCACAGGGACCCATGCCAGGGTTTCTTAGTTTATGTAGATTTATTATCACTGCACAATATCTTTTTATATCACTTCTCCAGATATTCATCAAATTATTTTTTTTTCAGTTACAGTAAACAAAAACAGCTTGTATATTTGTGATATATTTCGATATATTTCGTTCCAGAATAACTTCTGTTTCTCACTGAACCTGCTAAAAGTATCCACATGGGCTTCAAGAGGCTAAACACAGCTTTCACCTCCCCTCGAGTCTCTCTTTTGGCTATATTAAATACTCCTTTATCACCGAGCATCTCTTTGACCTGACCTTACCCTCTTCCTCAATCTGTCCAACCTCCCCACTTTAGTAAACACAACTTGTTTTGTCTTTTGGTGTCTTGGCCTCCTCTTTAGTGCTTGTGTGTGTTTCTGTAAAGAGACATCACCAGCAGTCAAGTCATGGAACATTACATGAACCATTGGGCTGTGTGATGTTTGTTTACCTGGCTTGTCTGCCTTCTCGTCTCTTGGTGTGTATGTATGTGGAGTCTGGCTCGCTATGCTGGCCGTGATGCTCGGCTGAGCTGATGGATATGCATACTAGCTCAATGGACGGATAAAGGGAAGAACGCCATGGGGTAGGTTTTGATGGTGGATGGATGGTTGTTAGCTAGCGTAGCTCCATTTGGGCAGATCAGCTCCAAGCCATTGGTCTCAGTGATTAATGGGTCTGTCAAATGGTGATGGAGAGAGGGAGGCTTGAAAAGACAGAATCGGATAGAAAAAAATGTTACATCTGAAAGGATAAATGGAGCAGACTTGACCGCAGGTGAGCTTATTACATAGATGTTGTTTATGTTGATGGCTCCTTTTAGACCATTGTGTTTCTCTGGAATTGTTTTACACCGTAAATTTATTTAACTAAGTGTTTTGTTTTCAGTGATACTTGTGCTTTATTTTATCCCTGTAATTTCCACTTCAGCTGTTTTGGTCTTTTTGTATTGGCTCTGTTAGAACCGTATACATAAGTCAACCCACTGTATTTGTCTTTCCAGCATCCAGAACTGTAATACGGCCACACTATGGGCTTTTGATTATTCTTTCAGATGCTGGATATTTTAGTTTGATGTTAAATGTTCTGAAGCTTCCCGGACAGTGAATACATATGACAGAAAATTATTTGTTTTTAAATTGTATAAAATGTTTTTTATTCATGTCCTATTCAGGATGGATTGCCATCTCTTTTTATCTTTATGTTGTAATAACTCCTTCCTATCCAACATTTCACGTGTTCTTGTTTATCTGAGGTTGTATTCATTTCATTTTGGAGACCCAAAAAGGACCATGTGATTCTTTTAAA